CGGCTCATCGAAAAAGAATATTGGACTATCATCCTAATCAAAGAGATAAAGTAAGGCGCATATATTTGACTAGAGGACCTTGTCAACCTCGTGCACATATTTTTCCACAAAGAAAGATAGGAGATTTTCAGAGGCGGTTTAATCCAAAATGGTTTGATAAATATGGTGATTGGTTGGAGTATAGTGTGGAAAAAGATGAAGCTTTCTGTTTGTGTTGTTATTTATTTAGAGATCACGTTGCAAAACGAGGTCGTAATGAAGCTTTTGTAACAGAGGGCTTTTATGGTTGGAATAAGGCAGACAGGTTGGCTTCTCACGTTGGTGGTGTGGGCAGTTTACACAATAATGCCAAAAACAAGTGTGACTACTTGATGAGACAAGGTCAGTCCATCATACATTCTCTACATAAGCAAAGTGATATTGTGAAAAATGAGTATCGTATTAGGTTGAATGCTTCCATTGATACTTCAAGGTTCTTGCTACACCAAGGATTGCCTTTTCGTGGCCATGATGAATCAGAAAAGTCAGCAAATAAAGGAAACTTCTTAGAGCTTGTAAGATATACTGCTCATCAAAATGAGGCTATAAAAAAAGTGGTGCTGAATAATGCTCCTAAGAACAACCAAATGGTGTCTCCTCCCATTCAAAAGGATATTGTCAATTGCTTTGCTGAAGAAGTGATTAAATCTGTTATTAAGGAAATTGATAACGATGTCTTTGGTTTGCTTGTGGACGAATCTGCCGACGTCTCCGATAAAGAGCAAATGGCTGTGGTTTTGCGTTTTGTTGATAGATATGAGATCATCAAAGAAAGATTTGTTGGTGTGGTTCATGTGAAGGATACTTCTGCGATATCTTTGAAACATGCTATTGATTCTCTGTTTTCTAAATATGGATTGAGTATGAAAAAAGTGAGAGGGCAGGGTTATGATGGAGCTAGCAACATGAAGGGTGAATTCAATGGATTGAGATCATTGGTTTCGAAAGAAAGTAGCTCTGCACATTATGTTCATTGCTTTGCTCATCAACTTCAATTAGTTGTTGTGGCAATCGCAAAAAAAACATTTTGAAGTTGGAAACTTTTTTGATATGATTTCAGTTTTGATGAATGTTGTTGGAGCTTCATGTAAGAGAAAAGACATGATTCGAGAAAGTCATAGAAAGAAAGTAGAAGAAGGGATTAGTAATGGTGAAATTAAAAGTGGAACGGGACAGAATCAAGAGCTTTCACTTCAAAGACCCGGAAGTACTCGTTGGGGCTCACATTATAAAACATTACTTCGACTTGTTGAGTTGTTTTCTTCCGTCATTGAGGTTCTCGAGTATGTACAAGACGAAGGCAGTGAGACCACCAAAAGAAGACAAGCATACGGCCTCCTCAAATATTTTCACACGTTTGATTTTGTCTTCTATCTTAAGTTGATGCTACTTCTTCTCGGACTCACTAATAACTTATCAATGGCTCTACAACGAAGAGATCAAGATATTTTGAATGCCATGTCATTGGTGAAGTCCACTAAACGACAGTTGCAGAAGCTTAGAGATGATGGATGGGATGCATCTATGGAGACAATTCTTTCCTTTACTGAGAAATATAACACGGAAATGCTCAATATGGCGGGAGACTTTGTTGATTCAAGAATGCCAAGGAAAAGGACAAATATAAGCAATTTACATCATTATAAGGTGAATTGTTTCTACACGGTCTTAGATATGCAACTTCAAGAGTTTAATGATCGTTTTAACGAGGTAAATTCTGAACTACTTGTTTGCACGGCGTCCTTAAGTCCGATTAATTCATTTTGTGAATTTGACAAAGCAAAGCTCGTGAGATTGGCTGAGTTTTATCCGGATGATTTTAGTTTCGTGGAGCGAAAATCTCTTGATCATCAATTAGACATCTATCTTGATAATGTGCAACAAGATGATAGATTTACTAATCTAAAGAGTCTTGGAGATCTTGCTGAGGTCATGGTGAAGACAAGGAAACATCTTTCACATCATTTGATTTATCGACTTGTGAAGCTATCTTTAATTTTACCCGTCGCGACCTCAACCGTTGAAAGATGCTTCTCAGCTATGAATATTGTGAAGACAACATCGCGCAATCGTATTGGTGATCAGTTCTTAAGTGATTGTCTTGTGTGTTACATCGAAAAACAGGTTCTTGAATCTGTTACAAACGAGACGGTGATCAAACGTTTCCAAAACATGAGTGAGCGTAGGATATATCTTTAAGATGAAGATTTGTGATGAATTTTTTTTATGTTACGTTGTAATGATCTATATCGGCGTTGTAAAAATTTTTTTGGATATTATATATGGTTGTATTTCTTATCAGGTTGTAAATTTTTTTGAACCAACTTATTTTGACACCATCAAACAATTTTTCTAGATCCGCCACTGGGTGGTTATCTAAGTCTTTTCATCCATCCATCAAACCACTAGTAATGTTTCGCTAACGATATTACCCCGATAACACATTAGATGCTAACTCTCCCAATGCATGTATTATTTTCTATATGATTACCCAGCTGCAAGTCAACATTTTGTTTATCACGGTGAATATTTTGTTATCTTCTTAATAATAATGTTATTGTTTTCGCATATATAATCCAAGTTTGAAATTTAATCGTTGGTTCGATAACTGAAATTCTATTTATCTCGTTAAGTATATTATTAACATGTTGAGTAGGTTTTTACCTAAGTCTTTTCATCCATCTATTAAACCCCATCCATGTTTTGCTAACGATATTACTCCGATAATACGTTATCTGCTAACTATTCTCTCCAACATCTATGTTGCGTCTCAAAACATATCCTTTGTAGATATTGAATTATTTTTTTGTCGTATCTTTGTGTAGGGGTAGTTTTGTCATATCTAATTTGCATGGAAAAAAGAGAAGTAAATTTCTTATTTGTATGTATACATTCTTAATTTCTTTTTCTTCCATGTATATATTTTTAACTCACCCTTTTTAGATTGATAGTCTCTCTATTATGATCTTAAGATTGAAAGCTTGCCAACAATAAATCAAGTAACATTATCTATGTAAAAAGAAATTAAAAAGATAGTCATTTTCTTCAAGATTTGTTTGTTTCTTCAACATATATTATCTCTAATTCCACATTAACTAGATAGCGAAATTAAATTTTCTTATTTGTAAAAAAGGTTAATATCTCTAGAAATTGTCTTTTTATCTCTCATTTTGTACATAACATGTTTTTTTTTTATTAAATTAATTTCACATTTAAACAAAAAAAAAAGTTAATGTCAGTATACTATTTCAACTTATGCGACCTTTACGCCCAAAATTAACAAAGTCAATTGTTATACCACAGCATATAGTAAAGAAAAAATTCATGTTATTTTATTTGACATTACAAAATTTATTTAAAATCACACAACATTAGTTAATTATTGTTTTTCCACCATGTTTTTATTTTTATTTTATTTTTTTTTGCAAATAACCCTCCCAAAACATTTATCTACCCAACTAACCCAAAAAATTTATCTTCCATTCTATTCTATGAATTAATTTGTGGTTTATGGTATGTTTGAATAATATCTCATTAAAATATGAAAGCATGAACCTTACATTAGTTCATGTTGGTTTCTTTTTCAATAATTTTATAAATAGAAATATATCGGACGAATAGGTATGTATCTTATGGTGAAATACTTAATTTTTCATCAATTTTTAAAAGCATGAACCTAACATTAATTCATGTAAGCTTTTTCAATCCTAATTGAATATATAGAAATATATCTGAAGGGTTTATGGTAGTAGCATCTGCATTTCAGGAAAAAGTATTTATAGTCAAAAATATTAAATTACATATATCCACTACTTTTTTTTTCGGTCAAAACACATTATATACAACTAAAAAAAAACAATATTTTGTTGAATAAATTTGTATTATATTTGTTAACATTATAATTTTTTTGTGTGAAAAATTACCATTAGTTTTTTTTAATGCATGTTAACAACTTTATCTACATGACTAATAATCTCAATGCATTGCCCCTCTGTATTTCACTTTCTAACTTGTTCTATTTCTATATATAGAAAAGTTAACCTAAATATTATATATTTTGCAATCTCGTGATGTAGACGAATATATATTTGCATACGAAACCATGATTCATGTACTTTTGTTTGTTTTTAATTTTTCTTCACATTTGCAAGTTGTTACCTCACAATGCGATTAAATAAGGTGACCGTCCTACCTACAAATGAAAAAAATGCGATTGGACTCGTGTCGATACATTATTGGTTATATTATGTAACGTTTGTCTCCTCACCCAAGTCACTTTAATTTAGGCCATAAATCTGCCCAACTATAACCATTAAAGACCTTTACACTATATACATACATGCATCACATTTTTTTCCAAATTTTTCTTTTCTATTTCAATCCAATACCCCAAAATATTAAATTCATCACCTAATAAACTAATCTACCCATTTTAAAAAGCTAACAAATCAATTAAAATCAAGGTATTTTTAATCTTGATATAAATGGGTGGCCATTTGAAGTAGTTTTTTTTCACCTTTGAAATATATTCTTTTCTATTTAAATTTAATTCATCAATTTTTTCACCTAACAAATAAATTTAAACCATTTCTTTCAGAAAAAAATGCTAGTAAGAACAATAAATAAAAATGGGTGATATCTTGATTTTGATCTTGATATAAATGTGTGGCCATTTGTACTAATTTCAATATTTATGTTTTTATTTTTGCAGATTGAATTTTAAAACTAAAAGACTCACACTTAAGGCAATGATCAACTACTTTTTTGCTCAAATTGTGTACCTTTTTTAACATCCCAAGGTCCATTAATCTTTGACTTTATAAGCCTAAACCGTTGTAGGAGCTTTTCATAGTCATGCCTACACATGTCATTAAATTTCACACAATGGCAAAATCCGTAATTTAATAAAGAATACAAGGGTGAATTCATATCCCACCACCTATAAATGAAAAGGCAAAGATCTCTCGCTTAAAACCTAAAAAACAGAGATCTTAACACAAAACAAATCAAACACCAAAAAAAAAAACACAGAGATGGGTTTGGTTACAGATGAAGTGAGAGCTAGGGCAGAGAAATACACAGGAGATGAGATATGTCGTGAGAAGACAAAGGAGTTTCTCAAGGAAGTTTCCATGCCTAATGGTTTATTGCCATTGAAGGACATTGAAGAGGTTGGTTACGACAGAGAGACAGGTATTGTCTGGCTGAAGCAGAAGAAGAGCATCACCCACAAGTTTCTAGAAATTGGGAAACTTGTCTCTTACGCCACCGAGGTCACTGCCCAGGTGGAGGTCGGAAAGATCAAGAAGCTTACCGGTGTTAAGGCCAAAGAGCTTCTTATTTGGGTTACTCTCAATGAGCTTACCTTGGAGCAGCCGATAAGTTCAGGGAAGATCAATTTCAGGACACCGACAGGTTTGTCCAGGACTTTCCCAGTGTCGGCTTTTGTTGTTCCTGAGGTTGAGAAACCTGCAATGGAGAAGAACAATGGAACCACTGAGGTCAAAGAAGCTGTTGCAGTCACAGATGCTTAGTCTCTTTAATCTATCTCTAATCATGTATTACTTTCTGCTATTTGCTGCTTAATTTCCTTTATCAATAAGATGATACAATTTCAGATTTGGAGTCTATAGATATCTAATTAAATCAATATCCTTAAATAAAGCAGATTCTGTATTATCAAAAAACCTATTGTCTAGATCTGGACAAGCTTCTGATGTTAACATTTCAACAGAAAGCTATAACTTTTGCTTGAAGGAAGGAAACTTCATAGCCAACGATTTCTAAAAGTTTCTTGGAAGCTATAACAAGTCACAATCTCAACACAAGAAAGAAGAGTGTGTACTATAAATAGGCCAACAACATTTGATCCATTGAGGCAGGTTAAGATTGACCTGATACTAAACTTAGCCATTACCTGATCTAAATCGAGGTATGGTGATGTTTGTTCTTTAATTAGTGGGACAGTCTACAATACTATATGTATAGATAGAGCCATACCTAAAAGAGGTTTGTCCAGATATTGTCAGATTCTGTGGTCTTCAACAATCTTTTGATGTCATTCATTACTTTCTTGATCTTTGTTAGTTGTTGCTTGCGTCATTCAATGGGCGAAAAAATCGGTTGAGCATCAATCCAACCGATAACTTAACAACAAACAGCAGCACTAGAGCATTAATTTGGCAAATGCTCTCCAGTTTACTCGATCACGGAATCAGAAACCGGATTTTCATCTCATGTTTAAGTTCCGACTTCTTGATCATAAACTAGGGAGTCTAAGTCAGGAACATAGCCAGCTTCTTTGGTCTCTTCTATCAGTAACCCCAAGACTGAATATACGGAACTCGCGTTAGGACACATTTTATCGCTCACGGCAAAGCTAAAAACTTGATTTTCCACCTCGATCCAGCTCATACCGGCTTCTTTTTTGTTCCCCATCATCCTCATCATCTTCCTCACTCTCGCGAATTCGACCCACTTCCCTTCTGCTGCATAGATGTATGAAAGCATCACATAAGTCCCCACCATTCTCGGTTTCAACTCCATAACTTTTTTTGCAGCTAATCTGCTTATCAATCCTGTGTGTTTATGCGCTTTACAAGCCCCCAAAATCGCTCCCCAAGTGGATTCGTCTGGCTTAAATGGCATCCTCTCAACCAATTCATAAGCCTCGCCTATTTTCCCCGCTCTTCCAAGCAAATCCACCACACAGTTGTAAATATCTCGGTCTGGATTTATGCCATACTCACTTTCCATCACATTAAAGTACTTTAATCCTTTCTCCACTAGACCAGCATGGCGGCACGCGCTCAGAACTGCCATGAACACAATCCGGTCAGGTCTAATACCCGAACTAACCATTTTGTCAAAAAGCTCAACAGCTTCTGCTCCATAACCATGTGACCCATACCCAATCATCATTGAAGTCCAAGAAACCAAATTCCTCCTCTCTTCGATTTCGCCAAATACTCTTTCAGAGTCTGGTATATCACCGCATTTAGCATACATATCGATCAAAGCATTAGCTAACTCAACGTTCTTGTTAAACCCTCTTCTATAAATCCTTCCATGAAGTTGCTGGCCACAGTTCAATGCCGCTATATTGGCGCAGGCAGCAACTAAACTTGTGAAAGTGTAACAATTCGGAACAAAGCCTTGCGATTCAAACCGCTGAAACATAAGCAGAGCTTCACTACTATCTGATCGCTCAAGCTCGGATATTAAAGTGTTCCATGTGATTAAATCTTTATCTTCCATCTCATGGAAATAGCGTTTCGCCTCTGATAAATAACCACACCTGCAATAAAAGTCTAATATAGAGTTCATCACCGGAAGGTTAGACTGAAACCCGCGTTTAACCACCGACGCATGAATTTGCTTGCCGGTTGTAACAGAATCAATCGAAGCTGAAGCTCTAACCGCTATTGTTATACAGTAAGGTGTCACATCTGCATTCTCCTGAACACACAAAACAGATCCAAAATGTTAGAATCTCAACCCAAAAACATAACAACTTCACCGAAAACACGAGGGATAGAGCAAAATTACCAGCAACATTTGCTTATACATCTTCAAACCACCAATGCCATCACCCAAATGTGTAAACCCGGTGATTAAAGTAGTCCATGTAACATCATTTTTAACTTTAATATCCCGAAAAATCAAAAAAGCCGCCTCCATTGTTACCGAACAAGTAGCGTACATATTCATTAACGCATTGTCAACATACAAAGAACCTTCCATACCAAGTTTAACCACAACTCCATGAACCAAAGCACCATAAGCCAAAACCTTCATGTTTCTACAAGACTTCAAAACACTCGAGAGCGTGAACTCATTCGGACTCCTTCCTTGCTTAAACATCTCGTGAAAACACTCCCAAGCACAAGAATTGTAGTTGGAAGAAGCGTAACCAGTAATCATTGCGGTCCAAGCAACTACGTCTCTCTCAGGCATTTCGTCGAACAGTGAGCGTGCTTCTTCGACTAAACCTTTTTCGAAATATGAAACGATGAGATTTGTTGCTAAAATGTGATGCTTCTTGGGTTTATATGGAGGAGACTCTGTGTTTTGACTTGACTCGACGCAAGCGTTGCGTAGAGAGCTTCTGACAAAGTTTGGGATTGGTTTAAACGCATTGGAGCGTGCAAATTTCGTTATGCTCATGTCTTGCGTTTAGACCAAAACGTTGTCTGATCACAGTTGGTTTGGGACTTCTGGATTCTGTAGTAATTTCGCCATTGTCGGAACGAGAAAGCTCGCAAGTCGTGATCGTTTCGTTCTGAGTCAGCAAAGCGTATTTGGGAGTGTTCTGGTATCCGGTCGGGTTGGTTCGAGTTTCCGATAATTCGGTTTTGAAATAAAGGTTTTTGGAAGTTAAACCGAATAATATCGGCTCGGTTTTGGTAGGTGAAAGTTCGGTTCGGGTATTGTAAAGAAGTACTAACCTCTATAAATTAATACTCGATAAATTAATAAACACGATAAATTAATAAATTTGGCCGGTCCCGAGTCGGACCAATGTAAAAATTAACCAAATTCGATAAGATAATAAGATAATAATTTTTTTGAAATCCCTATATAAAAATATAGTCCCAATAATATCATAAATTAATAATCATGTAATAGTTTTAGTGTTTTTCATAAAAATAGCCAAAAATTTTTGTAAGTTTTCATATTTTGAATATGCATAATTTTTTTTTTAATAGTCGTATATGTTTTTAAAATACAACAATGGATGTCTTTGTGAATTTTAATTTATGTATATCGTTTGTATATGTGAATTTTATAATCGTTGATATTCATTGTCAATATAAATTATTTTTTTCGAAATATTAAGTGTTTAAGGCTAAAACTATAAAATTTATAACATCCAAAACATTAATCTTAGTTAGATCACATTGCTTTAGCTCGTATTTTTTTTTAAAAAGTTTTTACAATTGAAACAAAACTTTCTATAAATTAATAAATATTAATTTACGCTATAAATTAATAATTATTAATTTATAGATAAATTAATATCACTATAAATTAATAAAATATCATGGTCCCAACATTATTAATTTATAGAGGTTTTACTGTATTTAATATTTCGATTTGGTTTTAGATTGTGGTTATTTTCGATGAAATTGCTGTTCAGTTAGCTAAAATTTGATTAAAATTTGGTTAGTACCCAACTTTTGGTTCAATTTTTATGAATTTCTGTTAAGTACTAAAAGTAGAAATAAAAAAGGTCAAGTAAAAGCATTATAAGATCGAGATCGACCCCCACTACCACTAGAGTCGGGGTAGGGTACAAGCCTTGTTCAAAAAATTGCTAGGCGTTAGTCGGGCGCTCGAGCTGGGCCTAGCGCCTAGGCGGAAAATCGGATATTAATCGGGGATTAGTTTTATGTATTATTTTATTTTATTTAATGTTAAAATTAAATAAATAAATGTTTTATGCATTAATGTGTTTAATGTAATGTTAAAAAATAAATATATTTTGCTATGTATATAAATATTCAAATAATTGTCAACAAAAAATTAATTTTGGCAAAATTGATCTTGAGGAAACTCTTTTTTTGTGTGTCTAATACAAAATAGTCAATTAGTATATAAATGTAGTATTTAAATTAATGTTTATTATCCAGATTTTATGGATTAGGAAATGATCCAACGTTGATATTTTTAGTAATAAATAATAGAATTAATTACAAAGACCAAAAAAGAGGAAATAAAAGAGAAATGGGAATTCTAATTTCTAAAGAGAACGAACTAAAACATTCGTTAACATCAAAAGTCCCTTATCGGTTAGGCAAGAGAAAGAGAACTGAAGACTTTGCTTATAAATACTGCACTCTCCACCCATCTTGTATGATTAAACCATCGGTAAAGCTGAGGCCCATTTAATAGCCCAACAAGTAAAAGCTTTACAAGTTAGAACTTTATTTAATCGGTTATTAATCCGATTTTCAACGCCGAGAGTAGTTAGGCGGTCCAAAAATCGGTCAACGATTAATTAGTCCGATTAGGACATAATCGTGGCGGTTGTGTCCCGCGGAGCGCCTAGGCGGCCGACTAGGCGGCTAGGCGCCCGCGTTTTTGAACAAGGGGTACAAGTAAAACTGGGGTATCAATTTTATTTCGAGGTTTAAGATAATAACCAAAGCAAACCAGTTCAAATACCAGAACTGTAAAAACGAACCTCTCGGTTTACTTGGTACACCTGAAAATTTTAGTTGGTTCGATTTGGTTCGGACAATTTGTCCAGGCCGCGTGTAGAAGCATAAACTACTCAGGGCAATGCTTGGTAGAGATAAAATGACAATTTGGTAAAATCTAGCATAAGCAACACTTACTTTGCCATCTACGAAGCTGCAACAATATAAAACTGTTGCAATCATATATATACACACAAGCAGAGATCAATAAATAATATATGTTAGTATGTGACATACAATTTCTGTGATGAATTTTCAATTTCTGTAAGACCTATAGCCTAAAAGGCTTATTGCGTTTTGAGTGTTCAGAGAAGTAAAAGAGACTGTGTTTTGCACTCATCGAACAAGAATCTGAGTCTTGGCAGCGACTCGGGAGCATTTTTTCCGGTCAGATTTTCTGAGACCACAGGCACAGATATCCAGAAGTTCATAATCTTCTTCCCAGAATAATAGTGATGCCATCTCTGGATTAGCTAGGAGGAGTTTAGAAGTCAAGAATCCAGCAACTGTCCATGTCTGGTAAAGCCGGGATTGCTTTCCAATGAATTTGCCAGATCGGGTGTCGTAATACTCTGGCCAACGATCTGCCAACAGTCTCTTCTCAGCCACTGCAAGAGCCTTTTCCGCTAGCTCTGGTCTTCCCATCTTCATACATGCTAATGTGAACTGTTTCGAAAATCAAACACACAAAAGTCTATTATAAACCAGAAATCCTCAGACGTTACCGATGAAACTCTGAAATTGTAACCAGTTGATTTTTGTGGTCTCATTAGCATCAAGCAAGTTGTTTAATTATATGCATATCCGAGTATTGTTAATATTTTTTTATCTAATCCAAATTACTGACATATATCTGCATACCTGCCAAAGAAGTGTTGGCCAGGATCCACTGTTGTGATACGACCAAGGCCTGCAAATTTTGACAAGTGTTTTCAGGGTTGATTCACCGAAAAAGTTCAAGGAAAATACAGATATTGTCACAAGCCAAGGGAGTTCACAAAGGAGAAAGTTACAAGTAAGCGAAACTCACGTGTTCTTTGGGTCGCTTCCAGTTATTATACGCCAATCATCGTACTCTAATGCAGGGTAACAGATCTTAAGAGGCATATTCCCAATAATATCGTCCCATTTAGCTTCAATTAAGTTCAATATAGCTTCATTCTGCTTTGGTGTAGCCAAGGACGAAACAATAGACCAAAAGTTCCCAAGCGTGAAGAATCTGAAATCCATGTGCGCAGGTTGTAGGTTCCCGAGAAGATAACCACCTTGCTCGGGAATCCAGTCCATGAGCCATGGAGGAATTTGCTCAGGATAGATGTTGAACTTGTTAGTAGCATCCGTGGAATACTCTTCTGTCTTGTACCGATATATCTCATTGATCTTTTTTATGTCCACCCAGTAGTATTCTCTGATATGAAAGGAAAGAGCACTTAACCTATTGTTAATGGCTCTTACAAGATTCTTAGAGCTGTCATTAACAGAAAGCATCTCACGGGAGCATCTGAGTGCTGAGTAGAATAACGACTGCAATATATCCAAAGAGAAAAAAATTCATGTTTAAGTCTCACAAAAAATATTTCAACGCTGTCAAAAGACAATGAGACAAAGAACTATTACTTGGATTTCAAGAGGATGGCCATGGATACCCATACGACGATCAATCATACAAGAACCGTCAGTGACCAAAAGCGTAGGAAACATATCAAATCCATCTGCTAAACACAAGTTCATGATAAGCTTTATCCCTGTCTGAACATCTATCCTCTCTTGCAATGAGAAATCTCCAGTTATCTTTCCATATGCCCTCAAGAGAATAATCCACCACAAACCTATAAAGTACAAAAGAAACAATCAGTCCCACAGAGAATTCAAACCACATAGCTCTCCCAAAGCCACTCGCAAAGAACAGTAAATGGCATATGCATGTACACATTGACATTTTCTAACAATCTACTGACCAGAATCCACAGGAGCAACACGACCAATAGCTGATTCACCAAAATCCGGATCCAAAACCTCTTCCGTAGTGTTCTCATCAAGCGCCACGGTTCTTACTTTAAAACTCGCAGGCATCAAACCCTGTCCAGGACTGTAACAATCTACAGTTTTCTCCCAACTCTAAAACAACAAACAAAATCTCCATCAATACCAAACCCCACCAGACCACCACATCAATTATCAACATATACATCAATGAGAGATTCATCATAACACATACCTGAAGCTGTAATGTATGTAGAAGAAAGTTCCTAACAATATCACCTTCTCCTTTAAGCAAAAAAGCTAAAGCAGAAGGCACAAAATCTCTAATAAAAACTTGATCATAATTCAAAGGCATCTTATCTCCAGGATCATTCGCCGCCACAGTCCCAACCGGCGAACCACAATACCTAACAACAGCGTTTTCCAAAATCCTCCACGCTTCTTTCTCAGCTTCACTCTCTTCTCTCACAACTCTCTCAGTTTCTACATTTACTTTAGAAACAGTTTCTTCTTCTTCGATTTTGTGTATCCTTTCTAAAATTGCACCACTCTGAACATGAATTCTCTCGAAACTTTTGTCACTGGAATTGGTTTCAACGGATGTGGAGAATTTTCGATTTGGTAAAATTTTTGATTGGGGAAAACGGTAAATGGACGAAGGGATGAATCTCTGGCTTGATAAATGGCGAATTGAGTTTGTTCGTGATGAATCTGGTTTTGATTCTTTGGAGAAAGTGGAGAAGAAGAGGCTTCTGTGAAATCGTGAAGGAGTTTTCGTGGAAATTTTGCGGAGGAGATAGATTGCGCTCATGGTTAGAGACGAGTCTGGAATTCGAAGAATGAACCAAATGGAAAAAGAATCAAAATGATGAATTAGGGTTTAAGGTTCGATCAATTAGCGATGGAGAAGAAGGAGATGATTGGGAATGAGAATATTCAATTTGGGAAAATAATTTAGGTTTAAAATTTGGGATTGGGGAAGAAGATTGATTATTTTTTCTTTCCTTTTTTGGTCGAAACGGTTTACACCGGTTTACTCTTGTACCTTTTATTATTAATTTTTTTGACCTTTATCGACTTTTTTTTTTTTTAATATATATATTAGGCATGGGCTTTCGGTTAACCGTTCGGTTATCGGTTGGGTCCATTCGATTTCGGTTATTTCGGTTTCAAAATTTAGTATCCATTCCGATATTTTCAAATTTCGGTTCGGTTCCGGTTTTTTCGGTTTTAAAATTTAGTATCCATTCGGTTATTTTGCCTAGGATATTTTCGGATTCGAGGGTGACTTAACTGTAGAAATCACTGATAGGACATTACACTTCCAAAAATCTTGTTTTCCCATGGTTGCAATTCGTCGATGAACTCAAATACAAACATTTCCTAGGTCATGCAAAACATCAACAACCTTAGCATGGTAAATTCTATCTAAGACTAAACTCTATCTTAATTTCAATAAAACTTCTGACGTTTCTCTACAAAATAGAAAAAAACTAATATTATGTATATTGTTAAAATAATAACTTTTAGTAGACGTTATGATTTATAGCTATAAGTAATAATGTAAAATTTGATAAACCTAGTATATACATCTACATATAGAGCGAAAGATTATAAAAAATTAAGCATAAAAAAGATGTCTTCATGTAAAATCAAAGAATCAGATTACTCAATCTTTATCCCAAACTTGTTTCTTCCGAGTAGTCCACTCTTACAAGTTAATTAACCATATCTTCATCATTGACAATGAATTATTGCTCTTCTTTTTGTTTTTTCTTACATTTTGAGCCAACCATAAACTCCCAAAACCAAAAAACATGCTTTTCTCTTTACTCGATCAAAAAATGGTGTGCAAAGAACGAGAACTTCAACGTCGTCCTCTCAATATCTGGAGACGATTCTACGATTGCTTGGTGAAGTTATTAGCAACACAGGCTTTGAAGAAAGTAACACTTGGCCAACCACAGACACTTGGTATTGTTGTATCAAACGAAGAAAATTCTGATATTGGCTCTAATATCATAAGCAATGTTGTAGAAAACATGGAGAAAAATGAGAGATTATCGGTTGATGGAGAACAAGTAGAGTTACGTGTACCAAAAGAAAAGGCTCCAAGAAAAATTGTTAGCATAAAGGATGAAGTTGATGAGATACGAATAAGTTCAAGGAGAATCAAGAGGAGGACATCGAAAGGAAGTTTTAGTTCTTTCGATGAGCATGATGTTATGTCTTTGAAACCATTGAAATCGATTCTGAGAAAGGATTCAGAAGTAAGCAAATATCTATAATTAAGAAAATTTCATTCATATGTAACTTACGTAATATAATTATGTCGTGATGTATGTAAAATTAAATTTACACAGTGTCCCACATGTTCAAAGTTTTATTTAATAAGTCCCAAAGTTTTAGTTAATATCATACGAATAACTAAAACTTTTTAAAGTATCAAATAAATTAGATTTGGTTTAGTTATTTATTGATACTAGAAATATTATATAGTTTGAATACCATAATTTTTTATTAGAGATTTACAAATAAGGAAATGATTAACAACTAAATTTTTAGATTTTATACATAAATGATAGACTCAACACAAGACAAATAATGTTATTGTCATTTTAAACTCTCCCTGAATATTAGAACTCTTTTTATTTTCAAATAGCTTGTTAACGTTTTTTAATATATCCAATCATACACTTTATGCATATTGACTGGATTTCTAACATGTAACCCAGGTCTTTTCTTTAAATAGATTTTATCTTCTCTTGCTATCCAATCCCATAAGCCTCCATAATCCTTATAACTAAATTGTTTAAATGCTGTAAAGTTTTGATAGTGTCTATAATTAGGCCCTTGTCTCAAGGTACACATGAAACGAGTCGTACTCCAAATGTTAGTACGAAAATTATCTATAAAATGCCCTCCGATTGGTATTATTTTTGGACCTATAACGTCATTTTTGGAATAACACCTCATCCACAAGAGTTTTTTGTTTTTGAGTTCGTTCCCGATTCCTGATTCCGGCACTGGATATATAGCCAAGCATGCAAAGGCTACACACGAATAGAAATATTGAGAGATTTTTGGTAGATGTTTAGATCTTTTTCGTGTTGATTTGTTTTCGTGTGTGCTACATTTGTATTTAAAGCTTTTTTGTTGTTTCTCAATTAGTATGAGTTTGCTATTAATAGTTGAGGTAAAAAATCATCGGAGACTATCAATTTGTGGTCAACCTAAAAAGGATTTGAATTTGTAAGTACCAGCCTAACAGAGGTTATTCCATCGCGGGATTATATCGGACTTGCATTTTATAAAATTAAACTGCAAAGAAAGCTAGATTGGTCTTTCACAAAACGAGATTAGTTTTTGAAAAAGAGTAAAAAACGCTTAACTATGTCCATCCAAATTACGAGTGTCGAGTTCTAGTTGAACTCATCCCTAGAGTTAGTCGGATAACTTAAGTTTGTTGTGGTTAGACAAGGTTTTAGCTAATCTTAGACCCTTAATTCGATGTTGACCCGTGTCACCATAATTATCAAACATGGCAAATAAAAAGATCCAAATTAATATATATTGACTAATAACCATGTTCCAAGAAACTCTAAAAGAAATCCTAGATTATCAAAAAGCTCATAGGTTGGTATCTGCCACACCAATAAAAGTAGTGCTTTTCTATTCGCCAATAGACAAATGCTTAGGACATGATGGTTACACGGTTGAGTTCTACCAGGTATTATGGCCTATTAATTGGTTGAAATATATGATTTTGTTACTGCAGTTCAGTTCTTTTCTTCTCTGGATTTTTACCTCGGAGTATCTATGCGATAAATCCTCTTACTAATACCAAAGACAGATGATGGTAAGTTCATGTGTTTTCGATGTTAAATCCATTGTGCTTACTTGTGTATTTTTAGGGAAACTTGGGGGTTTCTTCGGCACTTCATGGTGTATATATGCCAAGGAGATTTTTTTTTATTTTTATCTTATATGTTTTTGTTATTGTCAACAACGTTCTTTCTAGAATTGCGTATCAAAGTACCATCCTCATTGCCATAAACTCAACCATACGTCCTTGAGCTTCGCGGAAGACGTCATGATATTCACGGATGAATCAACGACTTCTTTTAAAGGTGTCATGACTGTGTTGATGCAGTTTGGTCAGATCTCTGGTTTGCTAAGAAGTTTGATTAAATCCTTTGTTTACATGGCTAGGAGTGTCAAATAATATAGAATAGAACTATATTTTAATCCACGGTACACTGCGGGACAATTTGTTTTTAAAATTAGTGATTTTTAAAATTTAATGGTTACATATATACTACAAGAAAACAAGCCTTTTGCGACTCCTTTTTGTGGCTCTTTTTTTAGTCGCAAATATTTGCGACGCTTTTGTTACACTTAAGTGACTCATTAACGACTACGACAAAAACAGACGCATATTCGTTGCTAATATACGACGCCATAGTATAGTCCGAGAACGGTCATAAATACGCGACCCTTTTACGATACTTTTGCAACCCAAACGACATCCAATTTTTTTTTGTCTGAAATATCTTAATCGTCACAAAATAGTCGTACATTTACAACTAATTTGCCTCTCTTTAGAGACATGTTCTGTTTTTAAAATTGTAATTTGATAAAATAGAATGTGTAATATGTTAAGTAACCATATTTTGCAATGCTTATAACTAATACATTGAAATATTAGTTGTTAATGTTTTAAGTTTTTCATGTTTATAACTAAATCTTTGTAACAACCTATCATGTATAAAATGTTACATATACTTTTAAAAGAGAATGATCTTAATCTATGTAAGTTTGAAAATAAACTTACCAAATCATTGTTTTATCACATAAATTGAAAGATACACTTCACAAATGGACTCTGGAGTGATATATAATACTTATACTAATGTATTTTGATCTTAATGTTTAGAAATCATAAATATTAGTTTGTGACTCATACACGACCGTCGCAAAAGTGTGTTTCTTTGCGATTACTTTGCCACTGCCTAGTGTTACAACGAATGTGCTATTCTTTTGTGACTACTTTGTTACGCATTTTGCGACGAAGTTACCTCGATTAAACGACTTATCTAACAAATCTAAAATAATGTCTAGTGACTTAAAGGAATTGTTAGTGGAGCGAGGAGAACTGGTATACAACCCTATTGGATTACCAGTAATGACCTGTGGGCACAGATGTGTGCTTATTGGAAAACTGAGGAAGCAATGGACGGAGTGAAAGTGCATCACAGTGCAGAAACAGTGATCGTAATGGTCTTGGAGTCCACAAACACGTATCAAGGCAAAAATCATTCATGCAAGTTCACCAAGAGCTGGTATGAATCTATATAACCTTTCTTTGTTTTTAAATATTGCACTTAGATCACTATATGTTGTTACCTCTTTGTTTTGTGATTTTAATGATGTCTTTGTATCATTATAGGAGGAAGAATTGGGGCGTCATGTGTCATATGGAGAAGTGTTTATGCAAACACACACAAGAGCAGATGGTAAAGCCAAACAAGTAGCTGAGGTCTATAATAAGAGCATAGAAGAGAGACTGTCTGAACTGGATGAAGATGGTGTAGACGCTTCAGATGATTCCTCTCAGCAGTCAACTCACCGGACTCTCACCATTGAAGAAAAGAATGAACTCTTTCTTAAGGTAATTTCGTGTAAGTTTTTGTTTAGAGTTTGCATATCATCATCACTGTTTGGTAATCATATATAGAATCAGTCCATGTTTTATGATTAATACTTGAATGATTCTGTTTTTGATGAGCAATACTTGAATGACTCTATTTGCTAATACTTGAATACTTGAATGATTCTATTTTAGCTTGAGCATGATTTTGTTTTTTTTTTCTTAAGTGTACTGAAACAGATGTGAAGGGGAACTATTTTGGCATTGGATCTCTTAAGGTGACCCTTAAGAAAGGGAAAAGAAAAGAAAGCTATGCTAGCAGCTCTTCTTCCTCCATTACTGAGCTTCATGATCAACTTCGTCAAAAGATGGCTGAGCACGACGCAGAGAATGCTCGACGTGATGTGGAGCAACAAGCATCTCAAACTCGGATTGCAAACTTGGAGAGGCTGGTAATGTATTGAAAAGAGAGTGATCCTGCCTTTGTAGCTTTTGTTGCATCTCAGCCACAACCAACTGCACCAGCCACCACAGCAGCTGCCAATGCAACAGCCACCGCCAATGCACCAGCCACAGCCGCCACTGCACAAAACAACGCAGAAGAAATGGCTGGAGAAACCAATCCAGCCACTGCACCAACAGGAACCGTCGCAGCCACAACGACACCTTCTCCATCCTTCTAAGTACTTTTGTTCTTTCTCTTATGAACATGATGAACATGATGGATCTTTTGAATGTATAAGGTTATGTGTAAGGCTTTTGATTAGCAACATTAAGGATTTAAATTAGCAACATTTTGGATGTATTTGAATTCGGAATATTTGTTTTTAGAATCCAAATTTGTGCTTATTTGCGACTAATTAATAGTCTCTCAAACCCAAATTCGACTCAATTCTACAACTATAATGTTTGTCAGTAATTAGTCGCTAATTACTAGGCGTAGCTAAGACGTCGTAAATATACGACTCCTAATTTCCGTCTCTATATCGTTGCTTATATGCGACAACATATATCAGTCTCTATACCGTCACAAATATGCGACGATAGTGCGACCAATTTATTTAGCGACCGTTTTTTAGCGACCAACTTTTTCAGTCGCAAACAACGATTAGCGACCGTTTAAGGACTCTTTTGGGGGTCGCAAAAGGCATGTTTTCTTGTAGTGTATATTATATATAAAAATTTGTAAATTTTATCATTTTATAAGACATTTATCTTTTATAGTTTACAATTGTTATTAAGTAATGATATACCACAAAAACAGTTTTTGTTTTATACAATTTTACTTTAATCAGGATCATTCGATATATCAAATATTAGTGGTGTTTTAAAAACTAATAAAATGAAGATTTAATCAGTAAAGCAGTTGATGATGAATGAAAGTTGAAGATCATAAACCATAGTTAATAGAAAATTTTCTATTGAAAAGTACATAATATGATGATTGGCCAATCATGGAAAGAAATTATAGAAAAATAGTTAAAGTCTCTTAAAGAAAAGGTATTTGGAGTAGAAGTCCTTACACTTGAATATGTAAAACTAGTGGAAGATAAATGGAGTTTATGAGATATAAAGCACGTTCAGAGGCAAAAATGATTCTCACAAAGATTTGGAATCGATTACAAAGAGGTATACTCTCATATGGTAGATGCAACTATGTAGATCCCTTATCAGTTTGAGAATAACATAAAGACTTGATTTAGTCTTTACAAAGATTTAATTGCTAGAAGTAGTCAAGCATATTTAAAACTTAAACTGCGAGAAGCAGTCCTCAAGGATTCTATTGGCAGAAGCAACACAAATTCTCATTTTCGAGAAGAACTAGATGTGTGAAATTAAATCGATATCATGATGTAAGATAATCGACTTAGTTGGTATTACTAAAAGAAGCTAAGGCTACAAGAATAGTTATGTTGATGATTGAAATATTATCAGTTCTCCTATAGAGATTTCACATACAATAGAATATTTGAAGAAAGAATTTGAGATGAAATTATTTTCCTAGAGGAAGTAGAAGTCAGAGTATTCATGAATCCGAGTCTTCATAACATTTCTCGAGATTACAATTTTTACTTCTAGCGAAAGAGGTGTTATCTCAAAGATCCTTAGATTTTACATAGAAATTGGTCTAGAAGTACCATACTAAGAAGAAAAGTTAAAATAGTAAGCTTTACAAGAAAAGTATGAATAATTCCTTTGTACAAGATGAATGTTTAAAAGATTGTATATATAAGAAATTTTGGACATGAAGTCTATATAGACTAGAGAAATAATCTTCTATATTAAAAGGAATGTATTGACCAGAAGTTCACTGACCCAAGATAAGATTTTGTTTATTAAGGTTCTACTTATTATAATTGCCGAAAGAGTAATATCCTGAAGATGATGATTCCAGGGGGAGAAATATGATTATGTGCGTAGTTGTACTTTTTTTCCCTTATCATGGTTTTTATCCCATTGGAGTTTTCCATGAAAGATTTTTAGTGAGACAACAAAGAACATGCGAATGATAGATACCTGAAGAGAAATATTGTGATTCCAAAGATAAAAGACTATTGTTATTCAAATTCTTTAACATACATTGATGAGATTGTGAGAAACAAAGATAATGATCAAGATGAGTTACTTGAGAGACCAATGAGATGCAGAAAAATGATGATATAAGTGTCCTACATATTTGTTCAAGTGAAGATTTGCAAACCTATATATTTACCAAGGCATTTCCAACAACTACCTTCGAGAAGTTACTTCATCATATTGGTTCACGTCATCTCAAAGATTTCAAGTGATGTACTCATAAGGGAGAGTAAAAGCGCGTTGCACTCTTTTCCCTTTAAGCATAGTTTTTCCCATAGAGTTGTTCTGGTAAGGTTTTGAATGAGGCAGCTTCTTACATGTGCATTAGAAATTATATTTTTTATAATGGTCATCCAATGAGGAGTGTTATAAATAATATTAGTATTATGTTGATGTCCATTATAGGCCCATTAGTAGATTCTAGTAGCCTTGATCTCTTAGTTAAACCCTAATGTTCTATCCCTATATATATATATATATATGTTGTATCTTTTGGAATATATTAATAACAGAAAGAAACACTTTCCAAACCTCTTTGTTCATAACAATATTGATGTTTTGGTATTGTTTTTGTTTCAGCTCAGATTCTTTGTAAAATTACTCAAAGACACAAATTCAAGTATCTCCGGTTCTGTATGCTTATCCGGTTCGACTTCTCTTGTTACATTATTGAAGCTTATCAAAATCTCACGAATATAAAACATCCATTAAGATTTGATTTTCGAAGTCTCTTCTTTATTGATGGCTTGTCTAGCCAGTTGTTGTACTAATTTCTGCAACATTATAGTCCTAGTTGTGGATGTCGGATTCACACACTCAAGTATTTATTTATTTGTGGGTTAAAGCTCTCAAGATGAAAATACAAGACACAAAATTTATGGAAAATAATGTGAAAATATAAGCAAATGTGTATAGATGAAGTAGTGTAGAATTGACTTTGTAGCTATAAATCGATGTACCTTCTTATGTCTTGGGAGTCTCATATTTATACACAATAATTTATATTGATTAGTCATTCAATGCAGTAAGTGCTCTTAAATGTGTCCGTTTTGATTCTCTAGTCATTATCATAATGCATTTATTTGAATTCTTTTGAACTCTTGATGGGTCTTCTGAAGCTCGGCCCATAGCATACTCCCAAACTCCAGTCTCCTTTTACGAACTCTTCATCTCGTAAGGTTCGTGCCATGGACTTCGGTTTGGGAGTGTTTGTCCGTTGACCATGTTGACCTTCTACTTACCTGGCAATCTTCGGGTGGATCTGAACATGGGGTCCAGGATTCGAAACCAACACTAGTCAAAACATATTCTTCAAACCGCGTTTGACATCCAAGTTACTGTGTCAGCACAAATGACTTACGCAAGATAACTTCACAATTGAACAAGACAGCATGCAGTGTACACATTCATGCTCATCAAAGCTGACTAGTATTAGTATATCCTCAACAATGTTTAACTTGCACATTACGTCTACCCATTCATTCTCCTTTTTCCTACAAAAATATGTATAGATAATAATACGATTTTTGTTAATTAGTCATAGATCCAATTTTTTTATTTTGTTAAATATATATTCAAATTCATCTTTAAAATTTCGAGGTTCTATCATTTCTCCCTGATGAATAACCGCTTCTATAGTGAAAAGTACTCAGAGATAATAATACCTCGAATAGTTTCTCAACCAGATCATATTCCAAATATTTCCTCAGCTCATATGACCAAGATCTTCATTATTGGGAAAGGTAATAACAGACCAGTGATATGGCTAAATAGCACTAACACATATAGTGGATTGTATTTTTCTTTTTTCTTTAAGATCTCTTGACCAATAAGACAAACGAAGCTCTTGATAGGATATCCGATTTCATATTGGAATTTGGGGAATATGGGCTATAGCAAACGATTATATATCCACTCTTGAAACTCAAAGTTATTATTGAAAGAAATACCAATACATTTGATTAGATTAATTCATCTTAGAGACATTTATTTTTAAACATTTTTATGACAGCAACATCCGTATATCTTACTACATACTCCAAAATCATATTTGTTTTTCAAAGTTTTACAATAGGCATCACACTTGACGTCCCCACCACCAGGAGGACACTGTTCAAATCCTCCCTCGCAAGTCACTGAGTCAAACAACATTCCATAACCTATTTATAATAAATAAAAATCATTCAACAAATATTCACATTAATTAGATGGACAAATTTAAACCCATAATTAAAAACTGATGTCTAAGAATAAAATAATACTTGGTGTTGTCGTACGACCGTGACCAAAAGATATGATGAAGAAGATAGTGAAAACTAATGCGACTAAAGTTTTTTTGGTGATAGCCATTTTTATTATATTTTTTCTTAAGATTGTTTTAATGAATTTTTCTAGCTTAGATGACTGGTTTTATATATAACACAAACATATGTAAAAAGATAAATTTTATGCTAAAAAGAAAAAGAAACATGAACTCTTAAGGGGTGTTATATTGGTTTGTGATTTAAGTAGTGTTTTAATGACTTTATAGGTTACGTAGAATATGTTGTTATTCAATCAAGATTTTATTAAACTCTGTTAAAGTTTGGTATTATTAGTTTTTGATTTGTAAAAAAGTCTTCTAAAATCTTCATAAATCTGGGATCATTGGATTCATAATTTTATAAAGTCAATAATAGCTTTGTTTCATTCAATTAAACTAAAATAATCTCTCATTGTTCATGAATTAAATTATTATGTTATTGCTTTATAATTGTATACACTTTTCTTCACAATATAAAATCATGCAAAATATTATCAAAATATAGAGATTGTTTTGAAAACTTTACAAGATTATGTAAAACTAATTAACAAGATTATAAAAAACTCTAAATCGTTTATATTATTTTTTTTATTTATTTTCTATGATTCTATAAAGTCATCAAAACACTATTTCAATCACAAACCAATAACACCCCCTAAATTTATTTCTTTATAGATTTATAGTCAAAAGAAAAATATGTATAATGAGTTTCTTACCTAATTAGTCGGTCAATGACCAAAATCTTTTTTTTTGGTCAAGTACATTAAATATTTTTAGTATAGATAAATGTCAATGGTTATTACTAAACTGGATGGAAGAAAAACAACTAGAAATATTAAAATGGTACATGGTGTTCGGTTTGGGATTGTCTGAGATAGAGATCTTATTATATAAAATTGGTTTTTCAAAATTAGTCATTAATATGATCGCAACATATGTTAATTATAACAATATATGCTGCCACGTCTTAAGTCTAAATTTGATATTATATTTTGAAAACATAGAAAAATTCATAATTTTATTGGAAAAAAAGAAATCTATACCTAAGTAAACTTTCTTGTATGCGATATACTAAAAATGAAGGAAACAATATTTTGATATATTAAATCATTAACTTAAGCCACAAACTAGAACTGTCCTTTCTTTGATTCCTCCGCTACCATCAACCACTCTCATGAGATCTCCTCTATTTCCCTCTCCCCGAAAAATCTGTCTGTCTCCACTGCCGAAGATTTTTCCTCGCCAAATATTCTATTTCCTCGCTCTTTGATTCTATTTGTAGTTATGAGATGCGTGCTAGATCTACAAAGCTTAAATAATAGATATGTACATGAGATGCTTAACTAGAGATGAGAGCATAAAGAAGAGAAGACACAAGAGATTTGTTAACGAGGTTTGGATAACCTACATCCCAGGACCAAGTCTAGAATCACACTAGAATAAGAATGCAAATATCACATTTTCCAATGGCATCTAGCAAACTCTTCTTTAGATAAATCAAAGAAACCACCTCTCATTGTCTTTTTTGACGAGTGTTGTTCTTCTACAAAAGCCACTAACAAATTTATCTATTTGTCTAGTAGGACAACACCACACACAACATGTGTACTTCTCTCACTTTTAGATCTAATGTATGTAAACTTTTTCTTGTTACCACCTCTTCCTTTTATACCACTTTGAGTTCTTCCTTTTGACTTTTGGGTACTTGTACTCTTTTGTCAACTTGACCCAAACCTTTGTTCCATTGCACAATTAACTCCACAGTTAAGGGTGCTGGAGCAATTTCAGGATGGGTGACCTTCCAGGAAATGATTGTCGAAACTGTGTGAGTGAGGAAAAAACACAGGGAAAGATCATGTGGTGATTTGTAGGATCCGTAAACAAGTCTTTAAATCCTCCTGGACGTAGCGGACCGACCGTCGGACATAGGTGGGCCCATGGGCCGAGAGAGGACGTGGGGCCGATTAAGAAAGGTGGTGGTCGGGGCGTTACAAGTGGCATTAGAGACGAACCCAGACGAGTGTGGAGTCTAGAGAGCTCACACCGTCGGGGGTGACGGTCTTGGTGCGCAACAAGGACGTTGTGATCTGTTAGTGGCGGTGAATTGTAATATCCCAGTTTCAGGAATATGGTGGTGCATGCGGAGAGGTTTAAAAGAATTGATTTAGCCACCTATGTCACCAAAGTGCACTTATCTTTTCAGTTAATTGTTCTGAGAGAACTCAACAGTGGGTGCTTGTGCTGGAGAAATTTCAGGATGGGTGACCTTCTGGGAAGTGATTGTCAGAACTGTGTGAGTAAGAAAAAAACACAGGGAAAGATCATGTGTTAATTTGTAGGATCGGTAAATAAGTCTTTAAAACCTCACGGACGTAGCGGACCGACCGTCGAACACAGATGGGCCCATAGGCCGAGAGAGGACGTGGAGCCCATTAAAACAAGTAGCGGTCAGGGCGTTACACCACAACTATATATATGTACTAACACAGCCATTCGACTGATTGTTGCAACATGATCATATGGACCTGTTGGTATTGTTTTTTTTTAGTTTCATTTCATATTTGTTTTTTTTTATCAACTACGTAAAAATAACTATTCAAGACACAAAATCAGGTATCTTCTGTTATGTATGCTTGCGTCCTCACTGGTTACATGGTTGAAGCTCATCAAAATCTTATGAACAAAAAACATCCATTAAGATTTGACATTTCCAAGGCTGGCTCTTGTCTATGAATGGCTTATTAATTTTATATTCTATTTTGTTGTGTAAATTTTCGGATATAGAATCTTATTAGATGGTAAGTGAGTTCGAAATTATGCAAAGTTCGATCTGGGATTAAAATTCATTTTGTACAAAAATTATTTTTATTAATTTTAGTAGTTATTTTGAAATTAAATATATTATAAGAAGTTTATTTTGTATGTTAAATGTATTATTTTAATTTATAAAAATTAGAAAATAAAATTGATTTTATTACATCATTTAATTTTTAAAAAGTTTATAACAAATTTACGTAGAATAAATTACAACGAATTAGAAACAATATATTCAAATCCCAAAACCATGGTTACAATCCCAAATTCGTCGCTAGTTTGACTTAAATTAGCATTGCTCACCGTCATTTTAATTACTTAACTCCTAGTGTCGTTATTTGGTTGAAAATTTTACTGTTGATGCAAAGGCAAATTAAGTACGAATATTGTGGAAGTCGAAACTAACACAATCGAGATTTGTCTAGGGTTTTAATTTAGGGATACGATTTGCGAGAATTCTCAAAGAACGACAGAATCAATTGATACCAAAGATGGTGTTCTTGATATTATTAAGAAAAAGATGACTTTGATCGTACAAGAGTTTGATCGTAAAAGAAAAAGGTGTTTGTGCTGTGAGAGCTTTGCGTAGTGTAAATTCTAGAGCGATATTGCCTCCCTCGGTGCTTGAGCCTTGAGTCTCTTTATATAGGGGTAACAAACCGCCTCTCCAGCGATATTCTCGGAAGATTTCCATTTATCTCGAAGTCGGCTTAGAATATCGCGGATTTAGGATAGTTTCCTTATTCTTCGGAGTTTCTTTGGAGATTTCTTGATTAGAGTTGATCCTTCGAGATTCTTCCTTATCATTTCCGGGTTTATCGGAAATGATCCTTCTTTTTCGGAAATGACACCTTACCTGGAAATGGTACTTTGAAGACGAATATTTACTAAGTCTTTGCCTCGGGTGATGATGAAGACTTAGCCTCGGATAGCTTGTGTAATCGGCTCGGAGAAGCGCGGCCCGGGCTCCCGAGGGAAATCGGCTCGGGCGTATGGAGGTAGCCAGCTCGGGCGTCCTGGCATGAACCGGCTCGGGTACCCAGAGTGAATCGGCTCGGGCATTCGAAGAGAGCCGGCTCGGGTTCACAAGCTTGCTGGCAGATCCCGAGCAGGCTACGGACGTTCCCCGAGGCGACCGGTGTACTGACCCGAGGTGAATGGTACTTTGCACCGAGGTGAAGGCTTTCTTCCTCCGAAGTGGTTGGTACGCTTCCCCGAGGTGTCTTCAGAAGTTCCCTGAGGTGTCCAAATCCGGCTCGGTGCTAAGGGATGGAATCCGACCCCAACAAATATCAGCTTACGTGGATCGATTCATGACGACTTGGTTTCATCCTTAAATTGATTCAAACGAATAAACAACGAATTGGATCGTTGTTAAAGCTGTGATTTCATATACAATTTGCTGTATTAATTTATGCAATATTATAATCCTAGTCAGTAACATATTCCAAGCACGTTTGACTTCCAAGTTATTGTTTTCAAACGTGACTGTTGAATCTAGATTTCAAACATTCAATTAGTTTAAAAAGGGGGGGGGGGGGGGCGGGGGGGGGAACAAATTCGAACGACTTTTTATTTATTTAATTCTCAATCATGCACTCGATTACGTTTAAATTTTTTGAGAAAAAAGTTAGGTTTTGCTTAAGAACAGAGAAAAAACTAGGAGTTTTTTTGGTGTAAAGTTGCGGACCCACTATATTTATACTTGAGAATTTCTTTCGAGATAAAGTTAAATTTCCTTAAATCTAGGACTTGAATCTTCCAGTCTTCCTTATCTTCGGATCTTGACATATTACTAAAGGAATGCTCCCGATATCCACGGGCTTTTAGCCCAAAGGCCCATTAACAGGTAAACCGGGTTTTTCCAGTATAATTGAATTTCTCAATTAATTTGAATCCTCCTTGGTTTAGACCGGTATTATGGTGGGTGCTAATTTCGGCACAAATAGTGACTTTCGCAAAATAACCATCTTCATAGTTAAAGAACACGAAAGTGTACATACACATTCTCAATACCATTTAACTTGTTCACCACGTTTATCCATTCATTCTCCTTCTTCCTACTAAAATGTGTACTAATAATAATAATAAGAGTTTTGTTATTTTTCATAGATCCAATTCTTTGATTTTGTTAAATATTCAATTTCATCTTCAAAATTCCAGGTTCTACCATTCTTCCATGATGGTTCTCTCTTCAAAGTTTTCATAATCATAATCTCTTCTATATGGAAAAGTACTCAGAAATAATTATACCTTAAATTGTTTCTCATAAGCTCATACGTCAAGGTCATCATTATCGGAAAATGTAATAATTGACCGGTGCTGTGATTAAATAACACTAACACATATAATTGTTTGTTTTTTTCCTTTCTTTTAAGATACGTTGACCAAAAAGACAAACGAAGCTCCTGATAGGAGATAAGATTTCGTATTGGAATTTGGAGAATTTCGCCTATAGCAAACAAGTATATATTCCGTTTTGAAACTATTGATGTTTTTATTGAAGGAAATACCAATACATTTGATTAAATTAATTAATCTTCGAGATATTTATTTTTAAACATTTTTATGACAGCAACATGCGTATATCTTACTACATACTCCAAAATCATATTTGTTTGGCAAGGTTTTACAGAAGGCAGTGCACTTGGCGTCTCCACCACCAGGAGGACAATATTCAAATCCTCCCTCGCAAGCCACAGCGTCAAACAACATTCCATAACCTGTTTATAATTAATAAAAACTATTAAACCAATATGCACATTAATTATATCGACCAAATCAAACCCATAAATTAAAAGTGGGTATAAGAATAAAACAATACCTGATGTTGTTGTACGACTGTGAACAAAAGATATGATGATAAAGATAGTGAAAACAAATGCCACTAAAGTTCTCACGGTGATAGCCATTTTTATGAGAATTTTTCTTAAGATTGGTTTAATGAATTTTTCTAACTTTGATGCTGATTATATATATATATATATAACACAAATATATGTGGAAAGGTAATTTTTATGGTAAAAAATAAAAAGGAACATGAACTTTTAATCTATTTCCTTATAGATTTATATAGTCAAAAGAAAATCATGTATACCGAATTAGTCAGTCAATGACCAAACTATAAATGATATACAATAAATGATTCGGTTTGAGGTCGTCGGAGATAGCTATAGATCTTAATACCGTATTGTATAAAGTTTGGTTTCTCAGAATTAATCAATAACATGATCTGAACATATGTTAAATATAACATGATATGTTGTTATGTCTTATGTCTAAATTTGTTAATATATATATATTTTTTTAAATATTCATGATCCTATCAGAAAAATAAAATCTATACATAAGCAAATTTTTTTTGTCTTATATTGAAAAGGAAGAAAAAGATTTATCTGATCTATGAAATCTGAATGTTGATTTTCTCTTGCTCGATCACTCTCACCAACTCTTCCGTTTTCACAATGTTCCATATTTGATCTAAACCATATATTTTTATAAATGACTTATTATATTTTGAATAAATGGTAATAGTATTTTTTTTTTTTTTTTTTTTTTTTTTTTCCTTCTAAATTCATTGATATCAAATCAACTTTACAAAGTCAGTATACAGAACTTTCGAAAAGCAAATTATTACATAAGCATATTTATGCGTTATATAGTAAGAAAGATACACAATACAAAAAGAATTTGACGATGCTTTTCTCAGATAAGCCTTACTCGCTAACGGACTATTAGATCCATTATTTTCCTTCTTCATATTCGATCTCGCTCTGATGCGAACTATGTGCGTGGATACCTTCTCTTGGCTTGATCTCCAAATTGCACACTGCATGGTGAAACCTATTGCTTCCATTGTAAGTTCTGAAAATATGACTATCGGATACCAATATTTCCGTATCCGAGTCTTTACATGGGGAATTGACTTTGACTTTACTTTCTTTGAAATCAACCTTTGATATCGTTTCCGCTTATTGACTATGGTTTCCTCTTTCATTCTGAAATGCCATCACTTCCATAGTTGTTGCCATAGTACATGTTTCCGAAGCCAACCAAAACTGATGAAGAACAAGACCAACGAAGTGAAATCTTGGAAATACGCCGGCAAGGGATTATGTCGTACGGCAATAAAGTCCCTCCCAAATCGAAGATACACAACAATTAAATGATTCATATCTACCAAATGAACAAACATGTTGGTTTGTAAAATTTTCAATGTGTGGTCGACAGCAAAAATAATATCTTGCGATCGGCGTTGGAGATCATGATTCGTACTTGTTGATAATTGGAAAAGGCAATAAAAGAAAGCCGAAGAAGTGTTAAAATAAAAAGATATCCATGGCGGTTAAGGGATTCGAACTTGATATGAAGATGATACTTACCACCCACCGCTAGAGATTGCACTAAACGGACATACACCGACAAAACTGATCCAAAAGAATCGCCGGACAAACACTCTTCCAAACGAAGAGAAACCAATTACGAGAATGCTCGTTTGAGAGAGATAGGGAAACCATTAATAACAAAACCTAACAATTAAAGTAGAAAAAGAAAGAGTGCAGCCGACGCCGGAGCCGGCGTCGGCTGGAGCAAAACCAGAGAATCTGAACTTGATCGCCTAAGAGTCGCTTGACTTGAGAGAAGAAACGGTAATAGTGTTTTTTTTTTATTGACTCCAAAAAATCATGTTATTTTCTTTATACGATAAATTCATGTAATTTATCGTGCTTCATGCTATTTACTTAAATTCACCATGTTCTTTCTATCGCCTTGTCCTCATATCTCCATCGACGGATGTCTCTTTCTTTGGACCTCTTTGTTTTTCCCACAAGTTTATCTCTCAATCTAATTTCTTAAAACCATTATCTTTATTCCAACTTCTCCCGAATTTCCGTCGTAAACATTGCTCTCATCTTATCAACACTGAATTCTAATCCATCACCGCACATCATCACCACCATCATCACCACCATCGCCACCACCACCTGACCACCATCGTCGTCGTCGCTATCTTTTGCTCTATTTTTAGACCCATCTTTTCCATATCTTTTTCTCTACTTTATTCTTGAGCTTGAACCTTATAGTAGAGAATTGGAGAGAGCTTTTGGAGAGGAATGATCTGAATTCATACTTGTAGAGAGAAGATTTCTAAAATCTTAGTCTTTGCTATTGAATTTCATTATGCAATTTTATTCAATCATGTTGTTTGATTCAAGGGTTATGATGAATTGTTAGATTGATGAATTGTTAGGCTAAATCAATATAACTTGTTCACCACGTTTATCCATTCATTCTCCTTCTTCCTACTAAAATGTGTACCAATAATAATAATAAGAGTTTTGTTATTTTTCATAGATCCAATTCTTTGATTTGTTAAATATTCAATTTCATCTTCAAAATTTCCAGGTTCTACCATTCTTCCATGATGGTTCTCTCTTCAAAGTTTTCATAATCATAATCTCTTCTATATGGAAAAGTACTCAGAGATAATTATACCTCAAATTGTTTCTCATCAGCTCATACATCAAGGTCATCACTATCGGGAAATGTAATGATTGACCGGTGCTGTGATTAAATAACACGGACACTTATAGTTGTTTGTTTTTTTCCTTTCCTTTAAGATCCGTTGACCAATAAGACAAACGAAGCTCCTGATAGGAGATAAGATTTCGTATTGGAATTTGGAGAATTTCGGCTATAGCAAACAAGTATATATTCCGTCTTGAAACTATTGATGTTTTTATTGAAGGAAATACCAATATATTTGATTAAATTAATTAATCTTGGAGATATTTATTTTTAAACATTTTTATGACAGCAACATGCGTATATCTTACTACATACTCCAAAATCATATTTGTTTGGCAAGGTTTTACAGAAGGCAGTGCACTTGGCGTCTCCACCACCAGGAGGACAATATTCAAATCCTCCCTCGCAAGCCACGGCGTCAAACAACATTCCATAACCTGTTTATAATTAATAAAAACAATTAAACCAATATGTACATTAATTATATCAACCAAATCAAACCCATAAATTAAAAGTGGGTATAAGAATAAAACAATACCTGGTGTTGTTGTACGACTGTGAACAAAAGATATGATGAAAAAGATAGTGAAAACAAATGCCACTAAAGTTCTCATGGTGATAGCCATTTTTATGATAATTTTTCTTAAGATTGGTTTAATGAATTTTTCCAACTTTGATGCTGATTATATATATAACACAAATATATGTGGAAAGGTAATTTTTATGGTAAAAAATAAAAAGGAACATGAACTTTTAATCTATTTCCTTATAGATTTATAGTCAAAAGAAAATCATGTATACCGAATTAGTCAGTCAATGACCAAACTATATTCAAAGTATATAAAATATTTTCAAAGTATATATTCAAATGTCAATGGTTATTACTAAACTGGATGGAAGAAAAATAAATCAAAATATTACAAGTGATATACAATAAATGATTCGGTTTGAGGTTGTTGTAGATAGCTATAGATCTTAATATCTTTAATTATAAAGTTTGGTTTCTCAAAATTAATCAATAACATGATCGGAACATATGTTAAGTATAACATTATATGTTGTTATGTCTTAAGTCTAAATTTGTTAATATATATATATATATATATATATATATATATATATATATATATATATATATATTAAAATTATTCATGATCCTATCGGAAGAAAAAAATCTATGCATAAGTAAGTTTTGTGTCTTATATTAAAAAGGAAGAAAAAGATTTATCTGATCTTTTCAATTTCCATGTCTAAGTAGTTTGCTTATTAGGATTATGGATTTTCAAGGGATCTGATGAATTGTTAGATTGATTGAATTGTTAGGCTAAATCAATAGAGTTTTCATCTAGATTGTTCTTACTGCTTATTCTAGAATCTGATCTTAAGATTAATTGACATGAGAGTGTAATTTATTTCCTGAACTATCTTAGATGAGCAAAAATTAATATTCGCAAAGAGATTTGGTTTAGGGATTTTTGTGAACTAATCAAACTTGATTTTTAATGCCTGTCTAGATTTAGGAATTTACAAAGAGATTTGAAATTCTAAGGTGTAGACATAGATAATCTATGTAGCGAGAGTCGATTGATTTTAACCCTTGTGATTTGAGTTCTAGAACTACTTCTTAATTAAGTCCTAGCAATTTATCTAATCTTTAATTCTGAATTTCCAGAGAATTTTCTTGAGCCTAATTCTTTCCCCAATTAAATTTACAACCGTTTTTAAATTTCTCTGCTATTTTATAGTTTTCAATATTTTCTGCTTAGCTTGATTTCAAAACCAATAGTCTATTGTGTGATCATGAGGACTTTGTGGAATTCGAAACTTTATTACTACAATGATCATTTTATTTGAGAAAGTTGCTTAAGGCTAATTTGAGCATATCACCAGGTTCTACCATTCCTTCATAATGGTTTTCTTTTCGAAGTTTCGTAATCATAACCTCTTCTATAGGAAAAAAATACTCAGATATAATAATACCTCGAATAGTTTCTCAATCTGATCATATTCCAAATAGCTCCTCAGCTTATATGGCAAGGTTTTCATTATCGGGAAAGATAATAATTGACCGGTGATGTGGTTATATAACACTGACACATAGTGGTTTGTATTTTTCCTTTCCTTTAAGATTCGTTGACCAATAAAGACAAACAAAGCTCTTGATATATTGGATATAAGATTTCATATTGGAATTTGGGGAATTTGGGATATAACAAACGAGTATATATTCAGTCTTGAAACTATTGATGTTTTTACTGAAGCAAGTACCAATACATTTGATTAGATTAATTCATCTTGGAGATATTTATTTTTAAACATTTTTATGACAGCAACATCCTTGCTGAATACATACGCCAAATTCATATTTGTTTGGCAAGGTTTTACAAAAGGCAGTGCACTTGACGTTCTCATCAGGAGGAGTTGGACTATATTCAAATCCTCCCTCGCAACTCACGGAATCAAACAACATTCCATAACCTGTTTTAATTAATAAAAATTATTAACCCAATATGCACATTAATTATATCGACAAAATAAAACCTATAATTAAAAGTGGGTATACGAATAATACAGTAGATTGTGTTGTCGTAAGACTATGAACAAAAGATATGATGAAAAAGATAGTAAAAACAAATGCCACTGAAGTTCTCATGGTGATAGCTATTTTTATGATATTTTTTCTTAAGATTGGTTTAATGAATTTTTCTAGCTTCGATGACTGATTCTATATGTAACACAAACATATGTAAAAAAGTAATTTTTATGGTAAAAAATAAAAAGGAACATGAATTTTTAATTTATTTCCTTATAGATTTATTTATAGTCAAAAGAAAATCATGTATAATGAGTTTCTTACCTAATTGGCTGGTTAATGACCAAACTATATCCAAATTATATATTATATTATAAAGTAAGATTTTCTTCAAGATTTTAAAAGTTGCCATTTGGCGTTCTGTTTTTTTTCGACATATGTCACTTTTCTCTCAGTAAAATTATTTTATTAATTCTTTTAAAAGTATACACATAAATGTATATTATAAGGTTTATAAATACATTATAGACTACAAATTTTGAGTTGGTCGAAGTTTATTTTTATTTATTTTGTTTTGATTGTAATTTAAACTTTTTATATATATGTAGATAAAATAGTTTTACAAAAAAATTCAAAAAATATGAGTTTAACTATTTATGGTCACAAATATTAAATATCTGGAAAATTATTTGGTTTACTTTTAAAAGAATTAATAAAATACTAAAACTTTTTTTACTTTCTTTTTATTGGTATACTTTATAGTAATTCATTTTTAAATATATTTTTCTCTTTGCAATAGTTAACAAATTTAATGAAAACAATAAACCACCCAATTAATATAAGATTTGAGAGAGGTAAATATATTTCTCCACTAACTTTTAAATTAATAGCATTAATGTTTTTAGGTTATTGTTTTCTTGTTTATTGTTTTAGTTTGATTTTTCCTAAACTTTTTTTTTTATATAGATAATAGCATTAAACTGGTCTCATTTGTGGTTTTATTAATTTAATAGCATAAAATTTCTTTCATATCTTTTTTTTTCAATGAAATATAAAGAAAGATAAAATACGAACAATTTGTCTAATATAAAATTTTCTTTTTCCTAAATTTTGACTTATTTTGTCATTTTATTCTGTAATTTGAAATATTAATATATTAAAAAAAAACTCTATTTTATGAAAGAAAGTGATTGTTTTTCAGGATTAGGATGGTTTTGTTCGTATCCAAACGAAGAAACGCACGACATGGGAGCTGCAAATACTCGAAGAAGCTTGACCTCACTCCACACAGAGGTTGAAGCACTAATCTGGGCGATGAGATGTATGATCGGCCAAGATAAAAGAGAAGTAGCTTTCCTTACAGACTCCTCCGATTTGGTGAAGATAGTGTCTTCCCCACACGAGTGGCCAGCTACTTGGAGGCGATTCAGAGCGACAAAGAGGAGTTTGATTTTTTCTCTTTATCGTTAATTTCTAGAAATTTGAATGTGAAGGCGGATAAATTGGCACGAAATGTTCGTACCCTACCGCAACTATCTACTTATGTAAACAACATTCCTCCACATTGGCTCATTTGAGCCAATCCAATAAAGCTGTTGACAAAAAAAAAAAAAAAACTCTATTTTATGAAAATCATTAACTACCCCAATTAATATACTTTAAGACAGGTAAATATATTTCTCCTCTAATTTTTCTATAACATCGTCAAAATTATTTATTGACTATACAAATTAAATTTGGACTGTTAATATATCATTAATTTAGGCATTAAAGTTTCATAATTTTCAACTTGTAACGGTAAACTAAAGCTTTGAAAACAAAATATAACGGCAATCTGACATTAAAATATTGTGCCAATATAATATATATAGACTTATACTTACATCTTCTACTCAAATTAGCTCTCAAGCTCTCACATTTCGATTTTTAGTTTTTGTAAATCAGTAAATCATTCAAATTGTTATTATTTTCGTAATATGTTATGTGAATCTTAGTTACATGTTTTTGTGTTTGTTTTTCTTTCTGTTTTTTTTTTGCTTTGTTCCAAATATGATTGAAGAATTCTTAACATCTCCTAAAGATAGAGATTTTTGTCTCACATCACAAAGTGAAGATGATTCTATTTTGAAGCATTACTATTATTATCTATCATGATGTGGTCTAACTAGAGAAGAAGATTGGGAGGCATCAATTGAACTTTAAACGATTGAATGGATATGAAGAAAGGAGTTAACTATGTGAAGTAAAGGTAATTGTAAGACCAAGCAAGGAACAAAGAAAAAACTGGTAGGACATCATAAACTTCAAAATTTTGTTTATTACATCATTTACAAAGTAGAAAATTTGAGGCAAGAGTTTTTGGTAATCTCGAAGAAGGGTGAAGAAATGATTGTAACGCCCCGACCGACCCTACCAGTAAGCCTCACGTCCTTTTTCGGGCCCATGGGCCCACCCTGTCCGACTGCCGGTCCGCTACGTCCGGGAGGCTTTAAAGACTTGTTTACCGACCCTACAAATCACCACATGATCTTTTCATGTGTTTTGTCCTCACTCACACAGTTCCGACAATCACTTCCCGGAAGGTCACCTATCCTTAAACTACTCCAGCCCAAGCACGCTTAACTGTGGAGTTCTCTCAGGACGGTTGACCGAAAAGATAAGTGCACTTTGGTGACATAGGTGGCCAAATCACTTCTTATAAACTTCTCTGCATGCACCACCACATTCCTGAAACCGGGGTGTTACAATTCACCCCCACTAACCGATCGCAACGTCTTCGTTGCGCACCAAGACCGTCACCCCTACGGTGTGAGCCCTCTTGACTTCACACTTGTCTGGGTTCGGCTCTGATACCACTTGTAACGCCCCGACCGTCCCTACCAGTAAGCCTCACGTCCTTTCTCGGGCCCATGGGCCCACCCCTGTCCGACGGCCGGTGCGCTACGTCCGGGAAGCTTTAAAGACTTGTTTACCGACCCTACAAATCACCACATGATCTTTTACTGTGTTTTGTCATCACTCATACAGTTCCGACAATCACTTCCCGGAAGGTCACCCATCCTTAAACTACTCCAGCCCAAGCACGCTTAACTGTGGAGTTCTCTCAGGACGGTTGACCGAAAAGATAAGTGCACTTTGGTGACATAGGTGGCCAAATCACTTCTTATGAACCTCTCTGCATGCACCACCACATTCCTGAAACCGGGGTGTTACAATGATGATATGTATGATAATAACGAGCTAAGGTTGTAATTTATTTGTCTTTCCAAATAAAATGCTTCGAGCTAATTTTAATAAAATGCGTATAATTATTGTTAATTAAATTTATAATTTTATTTTATTTGTTTATTTTATTTTTTAGGTTAATCATACTCTTATTGTATGATCATCTCTTACCAATTGGTATTACAACTAAACCACCAATTTTTATCATTCTCTTTTTTCTTTTTTTTTTGAACAAACTTTTTTGTTTTTTAATTAAAATTCTCTTACTGGTTCTAAACGTATTTTTTATCTTTTCATGTTATTTTGTTGCTAAAAAATATTTTTTTTTCATCAATTGAAGACCTTATGTATTTTTTCATCCATCAAGTTAGCATTTTTTTGGCATTACAATATTAAGGAAGAAAAAAGTACTCCCTCCTTTTCAAAATATAAGACGTTTTAGTTAAAAGCACACAGATTAAGAAATATCTACTTTTAAAAAGTTCAACCAATCATGAATGAGACTGCATAATATAAATAATCATAAAATATTAAATTAATATATAATTTGCATAGAAACTTGAAAACGTCTTACATTTTGAAACAAAAATAATACCTCAAAACGTCTTACATTTTGAAACGGAGGAAGTAATACATTTGAGTAGAAATGCATCACAAATAGCGAACCATTCTATTTTAATTTTCATTTGTGGTTTAATAGTGATTGGCAAGAACTGGTTAAGTTTCTTAAGAGGTCGACACGATTTTTGATGATATTTGTTTTTTTATGTCTAGGAGGTTTCGAGCCGGTAGGCTCGTCATTCCGCAGGGCGAGGTCCAAACCATGTAATTTACCTTTTCTTTGGATGTTGACACATGTAAAAAAGTTTAAGTTCTTTTCCTAAAAAAAAAATTGGAAAACCACTTTAAATTAACATGATCACGACATGTGTCAAGTACATCGATCAGATGTTGTCACATGTCAAAAATTAACTTTTGTTTTTACTTAACGAAGTAAGAAAAATAATTAAAAAGTTATTACATATAATTTACATGTTTATGCTAATTTTACGTATGTTCTCAATTAGATTTTGACATATATACAAAAATACTTCATTTAGCATAGATCTTAACCAATAAATAATGAATAATGATGTTCAAAATAACAACATAAGTTATTTAATTGGATACAAATTTTATTTGTTGTTGTAACATATTATTTTTTTTTGCAAGTAAAACACACAAAAAAACTTTAAAAAATAATGAGCTTATAAAAATGAGTTTTTGAATACTTAATGAAAATATTAGTATAGTTGTATATATTTTTAATAGATTTTCATGCATGTAACTATATGTGAAAACACAAAATATTTGGACCAAAATGAGGCTATAAATATGAACTTTCGATTACTTGATTAAGACAATGTTGGATTTCCAAATTTCTTTGTGGATTATATTTTACTTTTTTATTAATTTTTTTCATAATTATTTTTAATTATAACTAAGATATAGATTTGATATTATGTATAAATTTTACTAGCTATAATATATGACCAAATATTTCCAGCTAAATTTTACATTAAACAGTGGACCCATTTTTTTAAAGAAAATATCTAAGTTAAAAGGCCCAAAAATATTATTTATCCATATTAGTTTAAAATTTTTTGATTTGTCTAAGGGCCTACGATTTACTTGAGCCTTGAGCCGGCCCTAGGTCCATTCAGAGAAGCTGGAGACACAAGCTCTTTCTTCGACAAACTCCAAAAACGTGATGAGAGACCAAGGTGCGAAAGGTCTTGCAGTGGACAACGGGCAACAAGCTTCTTATCCCGCCAAAAGTAACTTTTTTAACATAAAGTTTTTCTTGGTATTCACTTATTAAGAGAGATGGCTCTTTTTATTTACAAATGTGGATAAGGGCACTATTTATTGACAAAATCTTAAGTGATGAAGTTCTAAATTGCTTGAATCTATATATACATTTTTGG